TAACAAAATTGCCTTCTTGCCTGCATGGTTTCTGCTGAGAGATCTGAGCTTAATCTGATTTGCTTGCCTTTGTATGTAATACTTCCCTTTTCCCTAGCTGCTTTCAGAATTGTCTCCATATCTTTGAGTTTGGAGAGCTTGATTATGATATGTCTTGGTGGTTTTCTTTTGGGGGTCTATCCTTCCTGGTGTTTGTTGAGCTTCTTGAGTGCTTATCTTTTTGCTTTTCAGGATGTTAGGGAAATTTTCTTTCAGCAGCTCTTCAATTATCTCCTCTGTGGACTTGTGTGATTCTTCCTGTTCTGGAATGCCAATAATTCTTAAGTTATTCCTCTTTATATTGTCCAACATGAATCTTACACCCTCTTTGGATTTTTTTAAAATCCTTTTTTCTGTTTGCTCTTCTACATGAATAGTATTGAGAGATTTGTCTTTGAACTCACTAGCTCTGGCTTCCATTTCTTCAATTCTATTCCTTTGTCCTTTCAGTGTATTGTCTATTTCTGTTATTCTATTTTTGATCATTTGGACCTCTTTCTGTAGGCTTTGAATTGTTTCCAATGCTGTATCTATCTTATTTGATTGTTCCTGTAGTGCTTTACTGACTTCTTCCTTATTTTTCTCAACTCCACTGCAAAGTGTTTAGAAACGTTTTATAATCATTTTTCTAAATTCCTTGTCAGGCATTTCCAAGACCTGCCCTCCTTACTGAATTGAGTCTAGGTTTTCCTGTAGATCATTTACCTCAGACATTTTATCTTGTTTCTGGACATGTGCTGATATGGTCATCAGTTTTTGCTTCTTGGACATGTTTAGTGGTTAGCTTTGGCCTTAATACTTAATTGAGTGTGTGTTTTGGTATTTTTTATGCTTTCTGGTTGTCTACAGGTAGATGTGATCAGGAGGAGGGCTTCCCTTTTCACTCTTCTTATTGCTTAACTCAGAGTAACTTTCGCAGGTGTTGTCTGCCTCCCTAGTGTATGACAGTTGGTATCTGTTCTTGCCTGGATTGTGCAGTTTTATAGGGTGTGATTGTAGCTTGACTACATGGCAGCAATTACTTTCTCTTCTTGTGTAATATAGGGAGAGAAAAAGAGGCCCCTAAAGGTTAAAGGGGGAACCAAACCAAAACAGAACAGCAAAAAAAAAACCCCAAAACACCATAAAACAAAAAAGCCCCACAACAGATTGGATACTGTAGTCTACAATCACAGAAACAAGAGAGGAGAGAAAGAAGGAAAAAAACCCAACAACTTCTGTAGCCTAATATGAGTATGACTTTGATATCCTCTTTCAGCTTCTTGCCTTCAAGGCCTCCTGATAAATTCCAAGATGCCGCTGTTGGTTTTTATGCTGTACCTCAGGATTTAATTTTTGGCCTGTTTTGTTTTTAGTGTCTCTCCCACTCCACAAGCCCTGTTCTGGTCTTTTCCCTATTAATAAACAGTTCAGGCCCAGCTGTGGCCATTTTGCACTGCTGGTGGTTTTAAGCAAGGACTGTCTTTTTAAATGTCGAGAGGATCTGTGCACACGCTTGGTAGAAATACCCTCCAGTGGTGGGGGTGTAGGGTGTCCACTCACTCAGGTACCCCATCTAGTCACCAGAATGGAGGTGCATAGACAGCAAGAGGCCAATGAACAGGTACCAGAATATCAGAACAAAACAAAACAAAACTAGAAATCTTTTCCACCTTTGTGTCTGAGGTTCCCACAGGTGTTAGTCCATGGTGGATCTGCTTGCTCTCCTGCTTGGTCTTGCTGTTTGGCCTTACCCAAGTTTTCAGCTTCGGGCCGCTGAGCCTGGCAAGTTCAAAAGTACAGATTTCTTGCTTCTGCTACAAGTTCCACTAGCTACAAGCCTTCAAACTTTTAAAATATTCTTTCTCTCTCTATATATATATCAACACTCGTGGAAGTAGCAGTCAAGAGATCAGACGACGTATTGCACTGGGCAAATCTGCTGCACAGGAACTTATTAAAGTGTTGAAGAACAGAGATGTCAGCTTGAGGACTAGGGTGCGCCTGACCCAGGCCATTGTGTTTTCCATAGCCTCATATGGATGCGAAAGCTGGACAGTGAATAAGGAGGATCGTAGAAGAATTGATGCCTTTGAGTTGTGGTGTTGGAGGAGAATACTGAAAGTGCCATGGGCTTTTTATTCCTTTTTGGAAGAGGTGTAACCAGAGTGCTCCTTGGAGGCCAGGATGGCTAAGCTTCGTCTCTCATACTTTGGACATATTGTCTGGAGGAAACAATCGTTGGAGAAGGATGTCATGCTGGGTAGGGTGGAGGGTCAGAGAAAAAGAGGAAGACCCCCAACGAGATGGATCAGCCAGGTGGCATTATTGATGGCGTCAAGTGTGGCAGCGGTAGTGAGGTTGGCCCAGGATCGGACATTGTTTCGTTCTGCTGTGCATGGGGTCGCTATGAGTTGGTTCCGACTCGATGGCACCTGACAACAACAATATATGTGGTTCAGAGTTTTGGAGCTCTTCCCTGACCCTGTTTCACCTGGTATTCTGTGGTATTGCTGACAGAGATCTTCACTGCACCTCTACCCTATCCACCAACAAGCTCCGTCTCCACAGTCAACTGTACTTTGAGGAGACAGCTCTTTCCCAGTTGTATTTTAGTGCCTTCCAACCTGAGGGGCTCATCCTCTGGCACTATATCAGACAATAGTCTGGTGCTTGTCATCATGTTTCAATATTCAATATTATGGTGATGACAGTGTTCCAATGTTAGTCATAAGGTTTTCAGGGACTAATATTTGGAAGTAGTCTGTCTTCTTCCTACTCTGCATTCTTTTAGATGCTCGGTTGAAACCTGTCCACCGTGAGTGACCCTGCTGGTATTTAAAATACCCATGGCATAGCTTCACGAGTCACAGCAACCAACAAGCCACTACAGTATGACAAATTGACAAACTGACATGCTTCTCTAGACAAGTATATATACACACACATATCTACCATACCCTGGGCTGTAGGATAAGCACTGGAATGCTCACCACAATGTCGGTGATTCAACAACAAAGCAACAACATCTACCAGTGTATACATAAGCGTTTTATTATTATTATTATTATTTTTTGGTTGTTGTTAAACATAGTTTTGAGGTAGATTTGTAGCCTTTAATGTTTACTGGCCCAATTGCATAGAGACAGGGGTGTGGTGACTCTATGGAATGTGAAGACAACAGCCTGGAAGGAAACATGCCAACAGACTCAGTAGTTTCCTTTCTCATGGGGGATTATGGGGGATTTTTTTTCTTAATTCTTATTTTCCATTGGAGCCCAGGTGTGTCACTGTAAGATAAACACTGGACTGCTAAGACTGTTTTTGCAAACCCACAAGTTACTCTTTGACCATCCTATGCCAGGTTGATAAGAGTTTGCACTGACCTGAGGGCACTAAACCACACAATACACAACAACAGTTTCTGTAGTCGGCTTATCAGATAATAAGCAATAGAGGAAAAGTGCAATGTGTTTAAGCTCCCCTAACCCCCACCTTACCCCGCCCCACTCACTTCTTCAATTTTAAGTTTGTTTTTGACCCTTGTAGATAATTCCTTTGAATTCACCTGTATTTCTTTAAAAACGTACATGTATAATCAAAGGGAAAATGGGGCGATGGGAGAAAATCAACAAGATGAACTCAGGCATCACAGAAAATTAGAGACTGTTTCCAAAGCGAGTCTCTCCTTTTACAGACGAGGAAGCTGTCCTCATGGGTGAGTGAGTGTTCCTGTAGGTCCACACTGTGGCCAGGGCAGAGCTGGGCAGATCCCCATTGGACCTGGGGAGGGAGGCTTCAGGGTGTTCTAGGCGGGGTCTGAGCAGGGAGTGGCCTTTATCTGTTTGTTCTGGGTGTGTATTTGGGGGGTCAGGTCACACACGTGGACAAGGAGCCTCTATTTATAGCCTCAAAGAACTGAGTGGACAGTATTCGGGATTATACATTCGACTGTGAGGTGAGACCCCGAGCACAGACCTTCAGGAGTCTCGGAACTGCCACCAGAGCCGTCATAATGTTGGTGAGGATACTTGGGGCCCCCACTGCCCATTTTGTTTATCAATCCTTGCCTTTGGGTGGGATGGGTACTGCCTCAGTTTCCCTCTCAGTAGAGTGAGAGCAAATATGCTCCAGAGCCCTTCAGCATGTAGGGTCTCCATTCCCTACCAGAGACTTTTTCATCAGTAATAATGGGAACCGTAGTCTGGTAGTGTAGTGGTTACGAATCGGGCTGGGAACCTCAAGGTCAGCAGTTCGAAACTACCAGCTTTTCCGTGGGAGAAAGATGAGGCTTTCTGCTCCAGTAAAGATTTACAGCCTCGGAAACCCTGTACAGGGTCGCTATGGGTCGGAACCGACTCCACAGCACACAACAAGTGGTGCAGTAAAGGTTGGAAAGCAGTCATGTGACGCAGGCAGGTCCATAGACTTTTGGTTGTAGACTGCACTCTGATTTTATTTTCTGTTCATGAAGGTACTCCAAATTTGGCACACAGAAATTAAACGTAGCCACGTTGGGGGTGCTGGGGGTTGGCGTGGAGCAGGGAGCATGGGCTAAGGGCAGTGTGCCTTCATCACAGGGACACATTTGGAAAATGCTGTGGAAGCTGTTTGTTGTTCCCAAGCTTCCTAAGATGTGGGTGGGAACTGCTGTACCCATTTCACAGAATGGCACATTGTGACTTCAGCGCTGGGCCCTGTGCTTTAGATCAGCTGTTGTGCTGGCTGAGCTGGGGGGAGGAGAACAGGGCAGTGGGGGCTCTGGAAAGCAGTGATCCCAGTGCTCCCTGCTTCTCCTTCTCAAATGTGCTAAATTATCCACCAGTGCCCTCACCCAGACTGGGGGATCGGAGACCTGTGACCCTCAGGACAAGATGGAGGTGGTGGTGTCTCTTGAGAGGCTTCATTTATGGGAGGAGCAGAAGGCACAGTGAGGGGGTATCCTGGGGCAAGTCTCTTTGATTGTCTTTCTGTTGGCTCAGGCAAATTTTACAATCACGAACATGCAGATGAACTTGGGAAAAACCCTGAGGATCAAGGGCAAGCTGTCCAATGATGTTGATCAGTGAGTAGGGGCCGCATAAGGACTGGGGTGGAGTCTGTCCATTGACTTGGAGCAGGAGGAGAGTGGGGAACAGGCTGGGCAATCATGTGATTGCACAACAGCCTTGGGATCAGACCAAGGGTAACCACCACACACTGATAAGTGGTCCCCTCTGCAACTCCTTTATTTTCCTTCATACAAAGCACACACCTTTCTCTAGGGGTTACAGCTCAGCATTGGGCTTACCTGTGTGCAAAACAACCCAACTCTTGTTTGGGAAGGGGGAAACACACAGATCCATGGAGTAGCCACCGAAGAAAAATAATCCCTTGCTCCAACTTGAGTTACTTGACATTGCAGAAATGTGGGGTGCTCTTGGCCTGAGACCTCCAAATGAAGGCACCTGATGACCCAGAATGCCTCTGCCCTCAAGGACCCCTAAGGTCTAACCCAGGATCCTGCCAAGAGGTCACACAACTCCAATTGCATACCTCAAGTGACAGGAAAGTTTTGTTGGAAACTATTTGTAGTTAAACTTAAGGAGTCTTCAGAGATCAAGGACAGCCATTCTGTCATCTAGAATGGACACTCCCAATATTTTAACATGTCAATGCCCCTCCTGTCCATACCTTTGGTCAGTGCTCCAAATGGAACGTGATTCACCTATACCACGTCTGATTAGATTGTCCCCTTCCTTGTGTTAAGGCATAAACCTTGATTCATGCAACCTTTCTTTGGTGACTCTTGTATTCAGTGGTCAACCCAAACACATAAACACTCCCACGATGAAGTTGTTTTACCTGTAAATGATCCCAAAACCTCACCTGTTACCCCTCGGCCTGCAGAGTAGCAATTAATCTGGGCCAAAGTGCTGAGAAAAGGAACCTGCATTTCAACCCACGCTTCAAAGAATCCTACATTGTCCTCAACTCTTTCAATGGCGGCTGGGGTGAGGAGATACGTGTACCAATCAACTGCTTCGGCCCAGGGTCAGAGGTCACGGTGAGGTCAAAGTGGTAAAGGACTGGGATTGATGTCAAGGGGACAGTCTGGGTGGTAGGGGACCCCAGCCTGGGAACTGTGGGACCCCTCAGACAGACACTGCCCAGGGTTCGTTCCAGGTTTGACCTTGGAACTTTGACCCCCTCTTTCTCTCTGCAGTTCCATATAACCTTCCAGAAACACCAATTCGAGATAATGCTGCCTAATGACAACGTGGTGACCTTTCCCAACAGGATGGACAACTGCCAACTGAGCTATTTGCAAGTGGGGGGGCATTTCCAGGTCTCTTCTTTGAAGTTTTACTGAGTACGTGGCACCTGCCAGATTAAAACACCCCAGCCCACATTCCCTCCCAAGTCCTTACTATAGCACCTCAGGGTTCTGCTTCCGGTCCTCACTCCCTCCAGTTCCTGTCCCCTGACCCATTCTCCTCCCTTAAGTTATGAGAGCAAACCAAAGAATCTGGCCTTGATCACACTTTTCTGTGGCAGGAAAGGGAGTTAGTGCTTTCTTAGTATTGTAATGCTCGTGGCATCTTCATGACAAAGGGGTAAACTGAGGTAGGACACCAGGCTGATGGATTGCAAGCTCTTAACCACCTGGAAGAAGCTGCCCTGCTTCTATTATTAGGTGCCATCATGTAGATTCGGACTCACAGCGCCCCGTATGTGTCCATAATAGAACTGCTCCACAGGGTTTTTAAGGCTTTATAGCTTTATAAGGAGCTCTGGTAGCATAGTGGTTATGAATCGGGTTGCAAACTGGAAGGTCAGCAGTTCGAAACTACCAGCTGTTCCACGGGAGAAAGATGAGGTTTTCTGCTCCCGTAAAAATTTACAGCCTCGGAAACCCTGTATAGTGTCGCTATGAGTCAAAATCGACTCCACGGCACATAACAACAACAACAACAACAACAACATAGCCTTTATGGAATCAATGTACAGGGTTGCTCTGGAGTCCTGGTGTGGCGCTGTAGGTTAATGCGCCAGACTGCAAAGCTGTTTGAACTTCAGGGTTGGCAGTTCAAGCTCACCAGCTGCTCCTTGGAAACCCTATAAAGGATCGCTATGGGTCGGAATCGACTTGACGGCACTTGACAAAACAACATAGCCTTAGCCTTTATGGAATCGATGTACAGGGTTGCTATGAGTCAGAATCGACTCCATGGCACATAACCACCACCACCACCACCATAGTCTTTACATTAAGGCTTACATTCTGAAGCCCTTGGTTCTGGAAGGCCGTGGTCTAGAACTGGAGCTCTACCTCCACTGAGTCTTGACATACATTCAGACTCCATTAGACTTGAACCATGTGGCTATGCTTAGACAAATCCAGGGAAACATTGTTTACCCACAGGTAGAATGTGGTTGAAAGTAGGTTACCTGGTATGGAGAGATGCTCACTCAAGGAACCATGGGCTTGCCTGGGCTTTTACTGAAAATAGTCTATCAGACACATTATCTACTTGAAGTTAGAAGTTTAGGTCCTGCTAAAGGAGCTCTGGTAGCGTAGTGGTTACGAATCGGGCTGCGAACCTTAAGGTCAGCGGTTCGAAACTACCAGCCGCTCCGCGGGAGAAAGATG